ATTTTCTAAATAAAAAATACGGTAATATTTGAGGGGTGGTTTCACCCTCTTGGAACTTCTTATCGAACCTCTACACCCTAGAATCAACCTGTATGCCAAAATTGAGCTTAATACGTTTTGAGCAGGATCGTTATTAATTATTATGTCAGTCACGGGTACACGCTAGTCTAATGATATAATTTTTATTAGAATTAAATTGAATTTTGTTAAATTTACCCTCGCTACAGTCTACCCATTTATACAGCTCCAGTTTATTACACCCGAACAAACTCGTTTTCTAAGATACCCATTAGATATGGTCACTAACCAAGGATACGTTCGGCATTTCAGTCACGTCAGATACACAAAGACCGAGATTCGAAATGCGGACAATTCCGACGTCAACTACCCTCAAGCAAAATGCCCAAATTAGAAAACTTTCTGTACTAGGAAAAAGATTAGACAAAATAACGCAACGTTAATTGGTTTTACGGTTAACTTCTACTACTTCTTTAGAATAGTAATGTAACTGTAATAATGAACTGAATTTATTTCAAATAAATGTACCACTGTATGTACAGGGTGTCCCATTTTAGTTGAAATCATACGGTATCTCCGTTATTCGTAAAGATAGAAGGGTGCGGTTTGCACAAACCTGTGCCACTTTTTTGTCAAACGGAAGATGCTGTCAACAAAATTTTCATAGCCCTGTTCGTTTCTGAACTACAGGGTCTTTTTGAAAATTTTGCAATTTGGGACACCCCCGGTATCTCTGTTATTGTGAAAGGTATCGAGAAGGTGAAAACTGTTTAGTATAGATTTGTTTACGTAGAATACAGTGACGTGATCTATTATTATACGAAAAAAATATTTTTGAAGATGTGAAGATGTGAAAAGATATATTTTCTTAACTGGAACACCCTGTATATTTTACGAGAATCGAATGCAAAATTTAATTGTCTATCAAATTGTATTATATCATTTTTTACCTATCTCTTCAAGTTTTCGTAGAAAATCTATTTACTTATAATTTAGACCCCATTTATCACCTATGGAATATTGACATTTAAGATTTTTTTAAAGCTGTTGCTTTAAAAAATGTACAAAATGTACGGGTTGGAAAAATAATAATTATGATTATTGTTTGTTCCCAGTAGTTAATATGCAGATAAAAAAATCGTGGGTGTTTGGGAAGGCTTGAAAGGGAACAATGATTTTGCGACGCTTCGCTACTTTATTGTCGCTTCTTCAGGCACTATAGGAGAAGCAGTTTTTTAAAAAATATCAAAATAAGATTAACTGACCACTTACCCAAAACATATATTAATCCACATTATGCCTACAAACATTCATGGCGACTCCAACCGCCAACACTAAGACACAGACAGACGAATCGAACAGAAACTTGACAGGTATTCTTTGGCCCGATATACACCGATGCTCGGTTTGGGAAAGCCAAAAAAAGGATTGATTTTTTGTGTTTCCTTTATCATTAATTTCTCTCTCGTTGCTCTTAAGAACCCTAGTCAATTCCATATATGTGCAGGTCGGTCGGCATCGCCATAAACAAACAAACGGAATCATAATGTGGACCCGATAGTAATCAAAATTAAATAATTTTTTAAAATTATTTGTCAACAAATAAAAGATACAAGACTAAAAAATATTAAAAATTAAAGAAACATAATATAAAAGAAGCAAAAAATGCGTTTAGTTAAAATCGAATGAAAACTAAAATAAATAATACATTGAGTACACAAGTAGCTATATTGTATAAACAAGATAATTAACAGGTGTAGATAAAACAACCACAAAACTTCAATGTGGCAATATCAATACTGACAATATTGCCATAACAATAACTCTGTACAAGGAAGAAACACACAATCGCGACGGAAAAAGTACGAGAGCTTTAACGTCTTTTCACGTCTCTGTTCAGCATTCGTCAAAAAATGAAATATAATTTATAAGGTTACTGTCTAATCTTCTTCTTCTTCGTCGTCTCTTCATGTCTGAAGAATCGTGACATTATGGCTAATATACATACAAAATTCAGTTTTTTAGTATTTGGGGCAATTATTATTAATCAACGTAAACATTCCATTAATGTAGTTTGAATACTAGGATCATATTAATTGGTTCTCTTTAACAAAAAATATTTAAACAGCTTTTTTATTTTTTTAATGAAATAAGCGAACTATATCGACAATATAAAATATAATATATACAGGGTTGTTCACCACATACGACGCGGAGTATTGTAGCTAGTTCTTAGATTTTTGCAAATTGTAAGTTTTGGGTTCGTTGAAAGACTATTAGAGCTACAATTTTAAAATATTTTTACAAGATACAGAATGGCCCAAATAAATAAAAAATATCAAAGTTGTATTTTTTTAAATAGAATCCCCTGTATATTATTACATTTTTAGTTTCTACGATTAAAATAAAGGTAAATTTCATTAAGGTTTACCACATTTTAATCTTACCGTTTTTGAAATGTTTAGGTTTTTGTCAAAATACAGTAATAATTTTAATGCTTTATTTCTCCAGGCGTATTTTAAGTTTTTAAAACCAAATATTGTACTGAAGTATTTCTATTTACTAAATTTTGTGTTGCAATAATAAAAATTATACTACCTTACACAAAGTGTCTAAAAATTTATTTTAAATAATAACTAGCCATAAACGGCAATAACTTCTTTAATTTAAATGGAACACCGTGTATATTTTAGAAGAATCAGATGCAAAATTTAATTGTCTATCAAATTGTATTATATCATTTTTTACATGTCTTCAGGTTTTCGTAGTAAATGCATTTTTTATAATTTAGACCTCAATTATCAATATACCCATAGAATATTGACATTTTTTATTATTTTTAAAGATGTAACAAATTTTTAAAGGGTACAGATACTAATATTGTCGATATAGTTCATTTGTGTCAATAAAAAATAAAAAAAATGTTTAAATATTTGTAAAAGAAGACCAATTAATATGATTCCAGTATTCAAACCACATTAATTGACTGTTTGCGTTGATTAATAATAATTGCGTGTATTAATAATAATTGTGTGGTAAAAAGTAACACCTTAAAAATTTTATTTCATTTTTTGCCGAATGCTTATTTATAACAATAGAGACGTTCATTTTCATAACTTATTATTATATTGATTTCTGATTCCAAATCCACATTTATTTAGAATAATTTATGAACTAACACAATTAAATATGTAATTAATTAATATTTGGGCGGAAATAATTGTGGTATATTTAATTAATGATATACTCTTTTATAAAGATTTAAATAGTTTTATTTGTGTATGCAAATACAAATAGGCTGGTAATATTATCGTTTTTAGCAACTTTACATTTGGTGCTTTAAAAACAATCTAAAATGTCAATATTCCATGGGTATATTGATAGATGAGGTCTAAATTATAAGAAAATGCATTTTCTACGAAAACTTGAAGGTATAAGTAAAAATGGTATAATACAATTTGATGGACAATTAAATTGTGCATCTGATTCTCCTAAAATATACAGGGTGTTCAATTTAAATTAAACAAGTTATTGCCGTTTAAAGCTAGAAATTATTTAAAATAAATTTTTAAACACTCTGTATGAGGCAGTATTATTTTTATTATTGCAACACAATAACTGATCAATAATTAAACTTCAGTAAATATTTAGTATTAACAACTATGATACCCTTGGAGAAATGAAGCCTTAAAATTTTTACTGCAATTTCACAAAATTGAAAATATTTCAAAAACGGTAAGGTTTGAGGGTGATAAACCTTAATCAAATTTACCTTTATTTTAATCATAGAAACTAAAAATGTAATAATATACAGGGTGTTCCATTTAAAAAAACACAACTTTGATATTTTTTATTTACTTGGGACACTCTGTATCTTGTAAAAATATTTTTAAATTGTAGCTCTAATAGTCCTTCAACGAACCCAAAACTTACAATTTGTAAAAATCTAATCATTTAGCTACAATAATCCGTGTCGTATGTGGTGAACAACCCTGTATAAATTTGTTACGCCTTTAAAAATAACCTAAAATGTTAATATTCCATGGGTATAGTCATTAAAATGAGGTCTAAATTATAAGAAAATGCATTTTCTACGAAAAATTGAAGAGATAGGTAAGGGACGGTATAATACAATTTGATAGACAATTAAATTGTGCATCTGATTCTCGTAAAATATACAGGGTGTTCCATTTAAATTAAACAAGTTATTGCCGTTTAAAGATAGTAATTATATAATATAAATTTTTAAACACTCTGTATAAGGTAGTATTTTGTTTATTATTGCAATACAATATCTGATCAATAAAAAATAAACTTCAGTAAATATTTAGTATTAAAAACTTTGATACCCTTGGAGAAATGAGGCCTTAAACATTTTACTGCAATTTCATAAAATTGAAAATATTTCAGAAACGGTAAGGTTTAAGTGTGATAAACCTTAATTAAATTTATCTTTATTTCAATCGTAGAATCTAAAAATAGAATAATATACAGGGTGTTCCATTTAAAAAAATACAACTATAATATTTTTTCTTATTTGGGACACTCTGTATATTGTAAAAATATTTTTAAATTGTAGCTCTAATAGTCCTTCAATGAACCGAAAACTTACAATTTGTAAAGATCTAATCGTTTAGCTACAATACTCTGTGTCGTATGTGGTGAACAACCATGTATAATTTTAAAAATTCTAAACAGTGCCCTTAAAAATAAACTTTTTTAATTAGAGTAGCATATCATATCGTGCAATTGCCAAGTCATTATAATTATTACAGAACTAAAGATGACTAATATTTATACCAACAATTTATAACAAAATTGTTAAATAGGTAGTTAAAGAGAGACAAAGCAAAATAAACTAACTTGGTTTTACATGAGATCTCACAACTTTTTATAGTGGAATAATTGTGTTGCGAGATGTTTTTGATGGGACAAGGTACAACAGAGACATTTTAGATAAAACAGATTTTTTTCTATTCCAGGTACTATGCGAGACTATCAAAGACCTACGTCTGCAAGTGACCGAGAGCTCGTTCACACGAGGCGACGAGCAACTGGTCAGACTGAGCGAAATCCTGCAACAAAAACAGGACCTGCTGCTGCAGGCGCTCACCAGCGACGTCGACGTCGCGGCGTTCCCCTCGGCGCCCGTCTCCGAGGAAAGTTCCAAGAAGCAGGTAAGTGTGTCGATTATGGACTTTCGCCGAAGCGGAATATGTTCAGAGAGCACTTAGCTTTGTTGCGCTTCCCGGAATTTAATCTTGGAAACGGAATTTCTTGGACGTTTCAGAGCTTTAGGTTATTGTTGAAGATAATGGAATATATGAGATAGTAACACGTGAACAGTTTATTAGAATTAGTATATTAATTATTATTGATGTTTATTATTTTTTATCTACAGCTCTTTAGTTATAACGTTTTTAAATCACTATTTTTTTAGTATTTCAGTTACGTTATGAGCGAGGGCTGTCTCACTATTGGAATTACATGTACATTTTCCTTGGGAGACGCTGGCAGTCGCTGGCAGTCATTAGCAGTCTTACGGCATCGGCAGTCGCCTATAATAATTACATGGCAGTCATAGGCAGTCTTCTTCGTAGTCCTTGGCAGTCGCTTGGCAGTAAAATGATATTTTGGCAGTACTTGTACATTTTTGACCGAAGTGAGACATCCCACGGTTATGAGAATCATAACACAACTAGTGGTGTTATGAATCTATAACACCACTAGTTTTTATAATAATGAAAAACAACTACGAACATCTAAATATATTAATTTTTGATACAAATTCCTACTACTAATTATTATAAATATTAATAACACATTTTTTACACTTCTTCAAAACAATTCCTGCTGCTGGCCAATTACAAGTCTATTGAAACAGTTATTCTTAAAAAAACATATAATTAGAGAAAACTTGTTTTTCGTTTGGGGTTCTTAGGGAAATCCTGTTTGAATTTACGTTGATATTAATAGCATGGGTGTTTAATTATTTTTGGAACAATTCAATTGAAACTTTCGTAGATATCTTATGTTTAGAGTTCAAAGCGTTTGGAAAATTTGCGTATAATTTTATTAACAAAGTAATAATTAAGAAAATTTTTAAGTTTATTAAAGAACAGCAATATGCTTTTAAAATGATTTCCGTGAAAGAGGAAAGCAGTTTTCAGAGATAAGCTTCCTAGAAATTCGATTACCTGCAAAGGTGCTATTAAACCTGACTATCAACAAAAATGTTGGTATTTTTCTTGGAAACAGCCGACTAACACGAAATGTATTTTTCGCGTACCTAAACCATTCTCATTATCATCAAAATAATATTGCCATTTTGCTTCATTTTCTTTTCCTTGTATAGAAATGTATATAGCCTCATATTGTTTAATGAGTCCATCTCTTACACCTCCTATGGTAGGAAAATAGTTTTATTTTTGTTATTCTATGCACTAAATTTTTATCTATTAACTACAATTAATAACTTATAAATAAAATAACTGTTTTTTACTACAATTACATTTTTATCTTTTGCTCTTTTAATAGTAGAAGTTTGTCTTCAAAAGTGTCATACACATTGTAGTATCATAGTAGAAGGAAAAGAGTAGTTGCACTCTCCCAAATATTTTCTGCCAGTTTTTACAATCTGTCGAATATTGGCAGATTGCAGAGTAGAGCGTTTCAATTGAGTTCCGTCCGTCGACCTGCGAGGTTCGAGCATTTGCGTCCCAGCACAGAGACGAATTGACAAAAAATGAGTGCCTTACTGTGTTCTGCTATTGGTTGTAGTAATAATTCAAAAAAGTGTGCTTTGAGTTTCTTTTGAGAGTCATTTGTAATCATGTTTGTGTTCAGGTTAATTTTCTCATGACTGATTACTACCTAATAATTTGATATTATTTTCACTTAAACCTCAATTTTTTTATCGATTTTACTTTTGACAATGCTTTGACTTCCTTGCTGTTTAACGAACTGCACCATCATTGAACAACAATTTGCTAGTACCGAAAGCACCGAAAAAAACTGGAAATCCCGGTTCCTTAGAGGCATGGTACCGAAATTACCGGTTCCGAAAAACAGCTCCGGTTCCGGAAACCTATAACGTACCATAACCGTGATTCGCCCTATACAGGGTGAGTCTTAAATAAGTGCAAATATTTTTAGGGGTAGGCCCTATATATATTTTGGTCCCAGCAATATAAGTATTTTTCTGCGCAATTTTTTTTTGAAAAAAGATCTGGATTTTTTTTTTAGTTTTTAGTTAAAAAACATAATTTCTTGATAATATGGTAACTAGGGTTCAGAACCGGAAATTCCCGGTTCTTTTGAGATATCAAAGAACCGGGACTCGAAATTATTAATTCCCGATTCTTTCGGTAGGTACCTTCGCGACTCGGTAACAATAACTAAAAAATTATTCTTTTATTACGTGAGAATGTAGTGATGCTATTTCTCATTGTTCTCGCTTGTTCTCATTTTTTCTCATTGTTCTCTCCATCGTTCTCATTGTTCTCGCTTTTTTGAAATTTCTGTAATATTTATTAGCAATTATTGAAGTTTAAATATGTTATTTTATTATTTAGTACAATGTGTTGTTCAATGTATTAGCTATCCAATGAAAATCACCTAGCCAATATATTACTACAAAACAAACATATTAATGTTAAAATTAAACTTGTCTTAAAATAAAAAAAGGTTGTAGAAAATCTTTGAAACAGATAATAATATAAAAATATGTTATTATACATTTTTCCGCATTTCTTCCCATCAGAAGATTTTCAGATACGGAAGAATTGTTACGTACATGAAATGTGAAAATATTCTGTTTTCAAGCAAATTTTTACTCGATGATCAATTTTTTTTATTTTATTTTATTGTGAACTCAATATTTTCCTAAATACATCTCTGTGAAACTATGGCGAGTGTCACGACTATACTTTGCCTAGATATAGGCCACGACTATACAGCTACGTCAGTGGTCACGGGACGTGAGAACAAGATCATATAAAGTGGCAGAAAAGAACGAAGGATTTAACAAGGAGTAAAGCTACTAGTTTCCTTATACTATGGTAGTATAACAACCCAGGGTCATTCAACAAAGTTGAAGAGGTTAAATTTTGGCCAAGTGCATACAAGCAATTTAAATCAAATAAATGAACCTACGTTGTGTTAAACATATTTTTATTGTGATTTACCTCAGATGGGCTCGTCAGAAGCAATATTGGTGAAATTTGAGGAAAATAGGTTATGTAAATCAAACTCTAAATGTATAAATAGCCCTACTTATTTTATTAACTGAAATGAAAGGAGTGCCGTACTACTGTGCCTGGAATTCACAAGTAAAAGAGCACGGTAGAGACAACCTTGATCATTATTCTAAAGAATCCAACTATGGCTGTTCTGAACTTTAATACAAGATAAATAATAAGAATACGAAAACTGTCGTCAAACCAAGATTTGAAGTTTAATACATTCAAAACATGCCATTAGCAGGTCGGCGCGAGGCGGCGCGGCGCCCGCATTTACTAAGGCTCTGGTTTCGAAGATCGAAGCTAAAGTTAAAAGTTTGATGCAAATATCTTTAGATTATGAGTTATTCTACTTATTGTTTTTGGTTGCTCTTTTGTTAGCTAAGATATTGCCTAGTCACGGTCGGAAAATGTTTGTACATTCACAAGGCTCTTATTGTCGTACTGAACCACGAACATCGGCACGTATGGACATGCAATAAACTATTGTATTTAGATTACTTTTAAACTGAAATTATTCACAGCATAAATCGATACCATTAAATACATACACAATATGTTATATAATACTATACCTCAGTCAGATCAAACAAATTAGGAAAAGCTTTAGCTCAGGTTATTACAACAGGAAAACAAAATCATATAGTTAACATTAGTAAAATAATGAGGAAGCATTTGTAGAATGTAGAATGTTTAGGAGGGGAGTTAATCACCGCGACCTTACAGATCTATTGTGTGTTCCCCTTTCTTGAGTTATAACGAGTTATAACTCATCATACAGTCTCAAGGTTTTAACACAAGCCAGTATCTGAGACGGCTTCACAGGGGCCAGCTCTCCATCCTCGACATCAGCCGTACCAAAGTTCATGGTACGAATGGTCGTCGTCTCGGCGCACTCAGTAATCAGGTGTTCTGGTGCTTCCCCATTTTCCCCACAGAATCTGCATTTGCCGTTGTTCCTCAGCTTCAGCCTACTGAGGTGTTCGTTGAGGAGACAGTGTCCTGTTAGAAACCCCGTGACAATCCGAAGATTGTTTTTACTTAAATCAAGGAAAACCTTTGATTTTTCTCAGTCGTAAGTTCTGAGGAACTTTTTCGAGTGTCTTAGACCATTGGAGGATACCCACTCCAAGTTATGGATGGAGTCTTCCAGATTCTTCAGTTCCGCTTTCAGTTGGTTCCCGTTTGGAAAACAAAACGGTTCTGCTCCAGTTAGTGGAGTATTCGCTCCTTTCCTAGCTAGATCATTTGCTTTTTCATTGCCTTTTATCCCTTGGTGAGCAGGCACCCAGAGTAGGAGGCTTTTATTTTCTTTGCCTAATTTGTTGAGCTTTTCTAGGCATTCTTTGGCCAACTTCGAATTGATGGTTACTGAGTTGATCGCGTTTAGTGCTGCTTGACTATCGGATAGGATGGCAATTTCCTGTTTTCGATAGTTCCTATCTAAGATAAATTGTACGCATCTTTCGATAGCATAAATTTCTGCCTGAAGGATACTGGGTTAGGTGCCCATTGGTTCAGAGTATTTGGTTTTTGGCCCACTCCTATCCCTGTATATCATCTCTGTTTGTTTTCTGATTTCCGTCTCCCTAGTTTGCAATTAATATTTTAAAAATCAATAATTATTCATGTATACAAAATGTCTTAAAAATGAATGTTTTAAATTTAATCATCTCAACATCTACAACATAAATTAGACAGCGATTTAAAGACATTTTATTTTATTTCATAATGATTTTTTCTCTTGTTAAATTAATAAATGTAGTTTATTTTATAGGTGATCTCCTGAGAAGAGATGACGACTTAATAAATAATGGTAATATTTTAAATAATTCAATTTAAAATATTAGCGAATTTACATTCTTTTAATGTCGTTTCTGCATATTGTATTATATTATGTCTCTTGATTTTTTTTATATATCCCCTCTTTGCGTTGG